ACGGTTTGAATGTCAGTTTTGAAAGGATTTTGAAAAATCTCAATTTCATGCACAATGATATGTACAAGCTTGAGAAACAAGTATCAAAATTTATCATCCAACTTTCTACCGGAGCTTCTTCTTCTGCAGGAATGATTTGATATTAGTGTATAAATCAGGCTGACTCTCCTTATAACCTCAAATTCAGTTCGTTTATATGTTTTGTTAAATTGACGTATTTCGTAATTCAGTATGCTGCTTTTCTTTAAAAAAACTTCCATCACTGCTCAAAGAAGTTCAAAAAAGCGCAGATTTTTGACTTACTTTTCCGCAATTAAGCCAGCAAACGAAAGTGTGGCATGGTAAGTTATTTTAACCAAATTCTTTAATAAGCTCGCGTAATTGTCTATAATTCAGCCCAGTGGATCTGATGAAATGATATGGCTGGTTTTAGAACTTCAGACATATGAAAACATTTCCCAAACAAGTACTATTGATGAATGATACAATGCAAGACCAATGGTTTTGAACCACCATCGAGAATATAATTTTTTGCTTTTGGAAAACGTAGTTCTCTTCCCGCCAGTCTTGCAAACTCCAGTCTGGTTTTCAGCCTTTCAGCCTGGTTTAACTCCCTCCTAAGTGCTTCTGCACATTCTTATCCTCTTGCATCTAAGGCTCTATGGTAATAGCGAGCGACAACTTCCTGTCGACTACATTGCCTCTCCCTCATCACCTTTAAGCTGCCATTCCAATGGAGTTATTGAAAAACTATCAATAGTACTTGAAACTCCAACATTATTCTACCTTTATTCGATTCCAACATAAATCTAAATTCCCCTATTTCCACATTAGGATTATCAGCTCCCTCTTGATCTTCTTTGATCTCGCCACCGATACTGCTTTTTCAAGAAAATCTTCCGAAATTCTTCTAAAAGGAGGCTCGTCGAACACTGAACGCTCCATCGTACTTTTGCTTTTGTTAGGCAATTCTGGAAACTTCCAAAGCACGATTCGTTTGAGGCGTCTTCGTACAGTGGTCGAGCACATCCATTGAGGGTAGGCTATTATATCGTATGGATCGTGTCCCAGGTACGGGACACGATCCATACGATAGCATCTCCAATTAATGGACACAGCACGACTATAAAGAGTCCACTCTCGGAGTGTTTATAGATATCGAAGAAGCCTTTGACAGGACAGCTTTTCATACAATTAATAAAGTCCTTAGAGACAAAGGAGTCCAGCCTGCACTAGCGGACTGGATTCTAAATATGCTCTCAAAAATGGCCGCCCATAGTGTAATTGATGCTAATAACAATAATAATAATAACAATAAAATAAGTGCGATTGTTGAACGAGGATGTTCGCAGGGTGGGTTCTATCACCCCTGCTGTGGAATCTCACCCTGGACAACCTTGTAAGACAACTTTCAGCTGAAGAATTCAACGTCTGCACTTATACAGACGATCTAGCCGTTTTGGTTCACGGGAAGTTCGAAAACGTCCTATATGACCGAATGCAGCCTGGACTAAGAATAATCCAATGCTGGTGTCGAGACAATTTTCTGTTGATAAACCCGAAAAAAACAGATATGGTCCTCTTCACAAGGAAAAGAAGGCTGGGTACCCTTAGAGCGAGTTGGCTTTGCAAAGTTCCCTTGCGCTTTGCCAATGAAGTGAAGTATCTCGGGTTAACCCTAGATAAAACGCTGATTTGGAGACCGCACATCGAAGGTAAGATAAATAAGGCACGCATTACGTTCGGTCAGTTAAGAAGGGCCGTTGGGACCAACCCAACCCAACCCAAAATATGCCTGTGGATATACACTGCAGTGATACGTCCAATGTTAACTACGGCGCCGTAAACTGCTGACCAAGAGTTAGAAGTAAAAGATTGTTTTGCAACTATAAAAATTGCAATGTCTAGCTTGTCTCTACGTTACAGGCTCGATGATAACCACACCAACAGCATTAAAGATGAATGTACTGTGCCTTCCTCCTCTCAATTATCACCTTGACGAGGCGGTGATAGCAACAATAATCCGGCTGCGAGCGGTTAACGATAAATGGCTTTAACAATCTTTGTGAGGCAGCTGCTAGCAATGAGATTAGGATCTGCTGAACAAAGGCTCATTCTAGAAATAAGCTTCATGACATGGCGGACAAACTGGCAAGGAAAGCTGCAGGCGAACCTCCGGGATTTCCAGAACCATTCATCGCCCCAACAATAAGGTCTTTAATACAGATTTATTTATGAGGCTGTCCAGGAAGAACCTACGTTTGGTCATAGGTCTAATCACTGGACACTGGCAGCACAACCAATTCTAGCCTTTGCCTCCAAGGTAATATGGCTGGAAGGACTCTAATGCTGACCAAAAGAGGGAAGTAAGTACAAATGATCTGCTGAGGTCAAAGTGCTGTGGGCGGTGCAGCCTGCCTTCCCGCGAATCCAGAATACAGGACACCGCACGAAGGCTTGTTAAGACCCATTCTTTTGTTATGGGGACGGCAAAGCGACCGTCCATGAAGAAATTAAAGAACTCCAAACGGTGTGGAGATTAGGACGGATACCAACAAATTATCAAAAAAGATATGAAAACTACAGGGCAATACATCTCATTAATGTCATTTCAAAGCTATATGATTGCATATATGATGAAGAACTGGACGAGATTTTCTCCCTGCGCCATATAACTGATAAGTGGACCAGTAAACGGAAATCTACATACTTGGCTTTCTTGGATATGCACTCTGCGTTTGATGTGGTACCAAGGGAAAAGGTGAGGAAAGCACTAGAGAAGAAAGGGACTTTCCCCAGAACTGATGCAGGCCATCAGATCCATGTTCCAGCGAGTGAAGTGTTCCTCCGTATACGATTAAAAATTCAAAATAACTCAAAATCAAAAAAGACGCGCGAGATCGTTTTTTATGTAGTATCTTATAGAAGTAGTATTTTATTTTTGGAGTCAAACCCCACCTAGTATGGCATGTGAGATTAGTTCACATAGTATACCGAGAGTTAATGATCGTCGTGGAGAAAGCTGTTAGACAATTTATCCCGATTGCTATTTGTAGCTTTTCTGAATAAAGTGGTGAAGACATGCAAGAGAAGAATAGAAACTTCCGTGGACGACAGGGTCAACCTCAAACCGATCATGTGCCAGGTTCTAATATATGGAGATGATGTAGTCCTCATCGCAGACTCGGGGAGGAAATTGCAATAGACTGTACTCGAGTGGTCAAAAAGCCTAAAGGAAAGGGGAATGATCTTGAACAAGGTGAAGAGCCAAGTCATGGTAGTGACAAGGACAGAGGAACAGAAGGATAAGATCCACATCGAATGTGATAGTTAACTTCTTCCCTAGGTCACCAACTATCAAGATCTGGGTACAATAATCTACCAGAAGTGCAAGGTTACTGAGGAGGCCAGGAACAGAATGGACAACACTACCAAGACTTACGAGTGTTTGGAAAGAACGACGTAAGCCGGAAGGCCAAGACAATGAAAGGACAGTGGGTGACCGCATTTAGAGGGACCCATAGGGGGACCGAGAACAACATGGGAAGAGACAGTGACGCAGTTTGCGGCCAGCCGTGGGACGACTATGCAGCAGCTCAAGGGTCTTGCTGGAAAGAGGAAGTACTTCTGAAGATGGACCCCATCGTGGCGTTGGGGGGTCGCTGGCGAAGGGAAGAAGTATCTAACACATCCATTAATTCATCCAAAGCCACGGAAAACCACGCAAGATGTCCATTTTTGTCAGGCAGTTAAGATAATATATTTCTGCGATGTCTTCTACCCTCCGAGCCACAATGTTTGTTGACAAACTGACAATTTTAAATAAATATACCTTTTCGAGTACATTTCTTTGGTTGCTGCAATTACGCATTGTTAGATCATTTCTCCATCGAGGAATCGTTTTCTAAGTTATGCGATTTCAAGTTCCACACGAAAGCTGACACAAGTTGCAGTTTCTTGTTCATTATTGAGCTTCTTAAGCAGAGTTTGCTACAAACTTCCTACTGTATACTTTGAGTAATTTTGAAAATGTTTCGCTTTATAATGACGTTTAATGTTGTATTGTTTGAGAACGGCTATTTTTGCTGTTTTTCCAAATCACATGCAAAATAATAAAATCAAAATACTTACAGACATACATCAAAACACAACTTTATTTCACAACAGACACTTCCGCTTTTTTAGTCGCCTTCCCTAGTCTAGAAATTATAGATAATGGTAGAAATATTAAAGCTGTTTTAGCCTTTGGAACTTACTGGAGGAATCAGTATGACCCTGATATAGAACATACAGTGTGTTAATTAATTATCGTACCCGACGTTATCATTGCAAGTATGCAACCAATATCACAGTATTTTTATTGCAATACGCGATTTGCGTGTGATGCGTATTGCACTGTGATATTGGTTACATACTTGCAATGATAACGTCGGGTACGATAATTAATTAACACACTGTACATTTAAATTTGTATCTTTACATTTGTAACAATCATTAATTTATTACAATTTAATTAAGTTAATCAACTTTTTTGAAAACCCAGCTTAAAATAACTTTTAAAATAAAGAGTTATAGAAAAACTTTCGCCAGGTGTTCTTGTGTAACATGGATCATTTGCAGTTCCGTCCTACTCCAACAAATTTGACACACGTGTGTGTCGATCACGTAACGACCCCTTAAATTAAAAATGAAAAAACAACATTTCAATCCTACTTTCTTTTCTCAATTCTCAAATAGAATTAATAAGTTAATTTAATAAGACAATCGCTGCGAACTGTAACCATAAAAAACATCAACACAAAAAGAATTAACTACAGACAAAATCTCAAAATAAATTAAAACTTTCGATCTCATTAAACACATTAATGATTACTTTAAAAAAAAGATGAAACCTAATCACATAATACCACAAAATAAAAAAAAAAATTGAGGCGTGAAAGAACTTTCACCCACACCTCACCCAATTCGAATATAAAAGTTATAAATCAAAGGACACTCACCTTTTACTGGCGGTTCTTTCTTCTTTTCTTTCGAATTGAAAAGGTTCTTCCGTGTTGAAGTCTTCGCATCATTCGACGCAGGAGAAGGTTTCTTGGCTTTAATAAAAAGAAATAAAGAAAATTAAAATTTAATAACACAAGCGTATGTATCCCATTATACAAGAACACCTGTGTAATAAGTTGCCTACACTCAAGACATTTAAATTGATTTTTGAATCCAAAGAGGAAAATTTAATTATCGGATTAACAATAATACAATTTTTTTTAATGCATTTTTTAAATAAATCTAAAAAACTGAACCGTTATACAAGAAAAAAGTTGTATAAAATACAGTTTTGGTGCTCGGATGTTTTTGGTATGTCGTTTTTTGGAATGGTTTTTTTAAAGGATTATAAGTTTATCAAGTGAAACAGATGGACAGCAGGAGTTGAAAGAAGAATGAAAAAAAGAGAGGACGACTGTAAGAAAAGATAAATCTCGAGAGGCACCTTACGGTCTACCGAGAACTTCCGTTATGAAAGGTGACCTTTTCAAGCTGCGTTTAAATTCTTTAAAAAATTTTAAATAAATCTATATTACATTTTATGATTTACACAAAAATATTATTTATTTATTTATTATTTGTTAATTAAGTTATTTTTGGTTTCAAATAAAACGAATTAAAAATTTAAATCTTGTGTAAGTCAGACTTTAAGTAACTTAACTGTATGTACATGTTTATGGAAGTCAAAAGCTTGCCGATCAAAATCCAACGGCAGTTACAGGATTTTAATTTATCTTTTATTTTATCCAATTAACTGTAATGGTCCATTCCGTTTCCATTTTATAAAGTTTTACGATAATCAAGTAGACGTAGTCAATTTATTTCAAACTTTCGAGGAATTGCTCACATCAACATTTAGAAATTTTTGTTGCATTTAAAAGTCATTAAAATATACAAAACGAAGAGTCATGTTAAAAAAGAGAAAATAACTTAGAAAATTTATAAGAAAAAATTGTTTAGAAAACTTTTATTACTACTGAGTATCTACGTATGTCATTTAAGCGATTAAAATTATTGTATTTTTCAATCTGCACGATGACCAGTTTCTTTTAGAAAGTAATAATTGTATCTTTTTGCAAAATGCGAAAGATTCACATTACTCATATCGTCACAATTTTTACAAGGTTTTAAATAAGAAAATAGAAGTGTAGTTAACGATGTAAGAGTCAAAATCATTTGGTTGTAGCAGCGATAAAATAACAAGAATATGACAAAAAAGTATAAGCTTAAAGATATCGAAATTGCAAGTAATTACAGAATGGAAGTGCAATAAAAATTGACAGAAATGAAAGTCTTGAAAAAGTATTGGAAGTATTTGAGACAGTTACTACTGAAGCAGCGAAGAAAGTATGTGGTACAATAGTACAGAATAATGGTAAAAAACAGATAGCACAAGGCTAAGAATATAAAACAGGAAGTACAAGTCAAAAATAGCTTTCAAATTTCCAAAATTATTTAGAAAATAAAACAATGCAAAACAATTAAACTTATAAGAAACAACGAATAAAAGTCAAGGGAATAGTTAATCATGCAAAGCAGAGAACATACCGCGAGTTTGGCAAGAACTTGGAAGAACAAAGAATCAACAATCACAAATTTATTTTACAAGCTATTAAAAATCGTAGAGAGGACAGGAAGATACTACATCGAAGACTATATGAGGAGATTGAAACAATATTTTGAATAACTATTACTATCACAGAACTCAATAGCAGAAGCTGGGAACATTTATAGAACTGTTGGAGTCACAGAACAGATTTCGAAGTGGTAAAAATATACAAAATCATGTATTTGCACTTAAAACTTAGAAAGATTTTGACTGCGTACCAAAGAAAAAACTGTGGGCATGCCAAAGAACTCTGGTTGAACACCTGAAAGATCTACACCAACTCGCAATCATGTAATAAATAACGACCAAGTATCAGAAGAATTTGTCATTAATGTAAGAGTGAGACTGATGCGAAGAGATTGGCTACTGAAATGGAAAGAAACGAGTAGTGTCATTAATAAACCATAGTTTGGTCATAAAAAATCTTAAACAATAGAAATATTCGAGTTCTTAGATACGATAAAAAAAAACCCGAAAACAACTGTATCATGTTTGGCTACTGAAATCGCTATAAGAACTAAGAAACCAATACATCCCGAAAACGTTAGAAGTACATGATTAGTACAAAAGAATTATCGGGTTTGACAAGACCATATGTCGGAAAGTATGACAGATAGAATAGTAAATGACATGTTTATAGACAACCTGTAAGTTTGTTATGCGCATGCCCAAGTCACGTCCACAGTTGTCAAAATGGCGACTATGCAACAGAAAGCGTTTTGTGCAACGTGCATTTCGAAGGCAATACCAAGTTGATCCTTCTGGCCATCAGAGCTTTTAAAGCTGGTATCGACAATTTAAGACCATAAGTGTAGATGAGAAACGTAAAAGCACCAAAATGCAACAGTGGATGCGGTTAGACAATGTTTCATGGGCCACCAGTAAAACAAGTCGTGAACTTGGTATTCTGCAGAAAACTGCGTGGAAAATTTTGCGGAAGCAATTGCGATTCAAACCGTACCGTATACATATGGTACAAAGTTTACGACCAAATGACTATGTTAAGCGAACCGAGTTTTGTACTAACATTCAGGAAGCAATGGAGGATGATGAATTTACCAATCGTCTGGTGTTCAGTGACGAAGCAACATTTCATTTAAGTAGCAAGGCGAACCGTCATAACATTCGGATATGGGGAACGAAAAATCTTCATGACATTATCCAATATGTAAAGGATTCTCAAAAATTGAATGTTTTCTGTGCCGTATCCAGCACAAAAGTTTATGAACCGTTTTTCTTTCATGAAAAAACTGTAACCGGTATGTCGTACCTTGATATGTTATAATTGTGGTTATTTCCGCAAATGACGGGTGATTCCAACAACTGTATATACCAACAAGATGGAGCTCCCCCTCACTGGCCTAATGAGGTTCGTGCATATCTAAACAAGGAATTTGGAATTGTTTGCGTGCGTTTTTTATTTATGGGGTAATTATCATTAAAGACAAGGTTTTCGTACCATCACTACCTACAATACTGGGTAAACTCAGAAGCCGTATTATTGATGCTGCTAACAGTATGGACCGAGACACATTGCAGCGTGTATGGGCTGAACTTGACTATCGTTGCGACATCTATCGTGTTACTCGAGGAGCCCACATAGAACATTTGTAATGTGCTAAAACTTGAGTATTTTCTCTCTCTATAGACATGTCATTTACTACTCTATCTGTAATACTAACTGAAATATAGCTTCGTCAAACCCAATGATACTTTTGTACTAACTCTGTCTATTAGATAGAACGGTTTCTATTATGCCATAAAATATAAAGATAAAGACCATCATTAGAGATGAAAGTAAATTTAATGCATATAGAAGTGACGGAAGACTAAAACTTTGGAGGAACATATATATAGTATTGTAAAACATTGTGCTGGAAGCGACATGGTGTGGAATGCAATGTCGGCAACTGAGGAAGGAAATATCACATTTAATTATCCGAAGCACACAACTACAAATGTGAAGCATATTACTACATTGCTCTATAAAGTATCGAAACAACTTAACCATCCACCATAATCAGCTAATCCAAATCCTATAGAACATATTTGAGAAGAATTTGATTCGAAAACAAAAGAAAAAAATCAAGATTACTAATCGAACACTATCGTTAAACAAAGCTATCGACAAGGTATGGCGTAAAATTCCAAATATTTGTAAATACTTGATCCTATCCATATCTAGCCGTCTCGACTCTGTGATTCAAGCAAAAAGTATTAATACCCCCCCTTTATTTAGATTTTCTGCATATTGTACTACTGATTTTCGTTTATATATTTCTTTTTTTAATAACTTTTTTTATAGCGTTTCCTTTTTGTTAATAACAATTTTCCATCCTCTTTTTCCGATATTGTGTACTATATAGTTTAAACTTGTATTTTGCATAGTACATGAAGACTTTTGTGAGTCACTGTAAGTACTGATAATGACAGATAAATAATCAGATGAAGAAAAGGACGATATGGAAGTATATTTCAAAGTAAACGTTGAAAATGCTTGCACGAGTTAAGCTAAATGTTTTTCAGAAAAACCACAACAGACAATTTTCAACATCATAAAAACGATAATCACTACAACCGAAAATTATAATTTAGCAAGTCAAAAATACTTGAATAGATAAAACAAGGTTTATCATCACTGCATTCCAGCAGGATGGCTGCCTAGCACAAACTGCTCATGACACATGATATAATTTGAGAGAAAATTTTGGAACGTTTAGTTTCTGCGATTGCATTGCAGTGTTTCGCTGAATTTTAATACGTTATCAGTACTGTTGTCAATAAAAAGGGATACTTACGTGAATCGGAATGAATTGGAGGCGACTCTAGAAGACTTTATGCCGTTTATCATCTATTTCTTTCTTACTCCCTCTGTTCCAAATTATGGTATACAAAACTTTGGAAACTGCTTTATTGTATTTGTAAAATTAGTAATTCAATGTGTAACTTAATTTAAACATACATTAATGAAAATTTTACACATTTAAACACAAATCAGCTGGATCAATGTAAACGCCCTTCATGGCGAAGCTTTTCTTTATTCATGAATTTTCATATTTTTCTCGATATCTATGCGTCTGAGAGCAAAAGCGTCAGTCATTATCATTAATTGTTATGGGAAACGTTTTTTTTTCTATCACGTTTAATTTTCTACTTATAACAGAGTTTAACGCAGATGATTGTCAATTTTGACATTTTGAGAATTCCTAGCTTGAACCTAATAAATGGTGATATCTCTGGTGGCATTGACTATGGATTATGTTATTTTGATTCATTATCATTTAATTTTTATGGGAAACGTTTTTCTCTATCACTTTTAGTTTTCTACTTATAACAGAGTTTAACGCAGATGATTGTCAATTTTGATATTTTGAGAATTCCTGGCTTGAACCTAAGAAATGGTGATATCAATATTGGTTATGAATTATGATATCTTGATTCATTATCATTAATTTTTATGCAAACGTTTTTCTCTATCATCTTTAATTTTCTGCTTATAACATAATTAACATAGATGATTGTCAATTTTGATATTTTGAGAATTCCTGGCTTCAACCTAAGAAATGGTGATATCTATGGTAGCATTGGTTATGAATTATGTTATCTTGATTGACTATCATTAACTTTTATGGGAAACGTTTTTCTCTATCACCTTTAATTTTCTACTTATAACAGAATTTAACGCAGATGATTGTCAATTTTGATATTTTGAGAATTCCTGGCTTGAACCTAAGAAATGGTGATATCTATGGTGGCATTGACTATGGATTATGTTATCTTGATTCATTATCATTAATTTTTATGGGAAACGTTTTTCTCTATCACTTTTAGTTTTCTACTTATAACAGAGTTTAACGCAGATGATTGTCAATTTTGATATTTTGAGAATTCCTGGCTTGAACCTAAGAAATGGTGATATCAATATTGGTTATGAATTATGATATCTTGATTCATTATCATTAATTTTTATGCAAACGTTTTTCTCTATCATCTTTAATTTTCTGCTTATAACATAATTAACATAGATGATTGTCAATTTTGATATTTTGAGAATTCCTGGCTTCAACCTAAGAAATGGTGATATCTATGGTAGCATTGGTTATGAATTATGTTATCTTGATTCATTATCATTAATTTTTATGGGAAACGTTTTTCTCTATCACCTTTAGTTTTTTACTTATAACAGAATTTAACGAAGATGATTGTCAATTTTGATATTTTGAGAATTAGAGGGAGTAGTATTTATTGATTCTATTGAAATAGGTGGTAAAGGCCAACATTTGAAGAGTTTATTATTATCACTTTTATTTTGGTGCACAGTAACAAGAAAAAATATCTCCGGAAGTAGATGAACTCACAGATCAGGATATTGATGAAGATAGAAGACCTGAAGAACGTCAATAAGTAATGTCATAATGACAATAAAGACTGTGACGATGATTTTACGGTTCTGACGATGAAATTGTAAGTGAAAACAGTCAAAGTAAGGTCTATCTCAGTCTTCACCATTTAAAGACTTTGTTCGCGAAGAAATTCCGCTTAACAACGTGGGCACGTAATCAACAAAGATGATAAAGAAATTCAGACGACGCATCGTTGTAAATTGTGTAAAAATCACAGTATTTATGTTTGTGCAAAATATAAAGTACATTAACATTTAAAATATTTTCAAGAATACTACATAAATATACATGTAGATATTGGATTACTTTTATATGTATGTTATAAACAGTCATTTTTAAATAAACAAAGGAGAGATCGAAATGATTTAAATGTAGCTTAAGGAGAGTAGTAAATTGTCGTAACTTGTAGAGCAAGTTACCAGAAGTGTGTGGTACAGAAACGTCGACATATTGAATAGTTTGTTTAAGTGATTTTAAATTTTTAAGTACATATTAGTGTAAAATTATTTTTTTGTTCACATCCCTGGTATAAATAAAGATTTATTAGGCTATTGTACATTATTGAAAAGGAGCTTTTCAATAATTTCCGACACGTGAGGTGTATTAAACTACAAAGCACGAATCGTGTTAGGTATGAATTCAAATTTCTTTCCAATCGCTGGCAGCGCTTCAATAGCTTTCAATGGTATGTTAATCTGCGTGCATCGCTGTTCAAGGTAGTTGAACGATTAAGTAAAGTCCAGCAGGAGATTTTCAATCGTCTGGGTTTACCAAGTCGGAAGTTTTAACTACTAATGATTTCTATTGCTTTAATTTTGCCGCTTATACTAAGGTAAACATTTTCGTTCTATTTAATCGCAAGTTATTAATTCGTTGTTTTAGTTACTTTAATTAGTTATCCTAAAATTATGGGCGAATATAAAATTGGACAAAAACGATAGTTGGAATCCATAAAAATTGAATAGATAATAAAAGTGTCTACAGTGACTAACTACGCTGACATAAACAGGATGCTGAGGGTAAAGCGGTGAAGAACTAAATGGTTCAAATAGGGTCTTAATAGATATGTTCGAACTTAATCTGAAAATATAATAACATATCTGGGGTAAAAAAAATACGGGAAAATGGCTAAGGCACCTCCTGAATATTTCTTGCTTCTCTTGAGCAGATGAGCAGATGATTGTCGACATAGTTCAAAGAATAAATGACACAATTATAGAGAAATTGAGAAATTCTCCCTCCTACGAGAAAACATCAGTATCTTCTATATCTATCGAGAATACGTACGGTACTGGAATCAATATATTTCGTTATACAATGAGCCAGAAGCGACGTGAGCTTTTAATATCATGTTTACGTTTCAACAACAAGAGTAATCAAACTGACAGAAGCAACCTAGATAAACTTGTCCATATCAGAGCTGTTTGACACATTTGTTCATAGCTGTCAGTATACATATTTATTCACCATCACAATATATGACCGTTGATGGAAAGCTTTTATTCAAATGTTCATTAATTTTAGTTGCCTTTGTATCAAAAACTAAACGCAACCTAAAGTATCAAGAAATAGCCATCATTGGGCTTTAACTTTGTTCTTTCACCTAATAATGGTAAAAATGATAATTTGTCGAAAAAACAAAGATGTAGAAAATAAAAAATTATTTCAATTAGAGTTTGTACATCCGACCTGTCGGATGTTAGGATAAAAACTATTGTTGACTTAAAGACTAAACAAGACTTTGTTCCAATGTTTAATGCTATATGTTTACATCCACTGGAACCACCTTTTCATTGTTTAGACTGCTTTAATTAGGAACCTATTTCATTAGGATATAAACTATATAACAAAAAAAAAAGTAAATTTGTATAACTTTGTTGGACTTACCTTCTAAATTATTCACTGATGTATTCCTATTCGGTGTTAATGACTTTGGAGTTGAATTTGTTAATAAAATTTGTGGAGGCCTGAAGACTCTGACATCCTCTCTTTGTTTTTTAGCAGATCCTAAAACAACATAACAAGCCAATAATAGTAATTATTCTTCCAAAGACATAATGATGTTATAAAATACTTGCTAAATCATTCATTAAAATAACACATAATGGAACGAACAAAAAAATGGTTTTAGTAAACACAATAGATCCATGAGAATCTTCTCACAATCAACTCAAATTCAAGACCACGAAGATTATATTATTATTAACCGCGTCTAGAGAAAATAGTTCAATATCCTGCGTTTAATGGAAATTTACTAATTCCGGGCCGGATGTTGAAAAGGAAAAATGAATTTTTACCGTTTTCTCTAATAAACGCAAACACCCGGGAAAATCATACAAAGGATATTTACGTATACACGGTGAGGAATAAAACGAAAACACACCGAGCGGAAGTTAAATATAGCTATAGGAAAAGAGCACGTATATTGCTTATGAGTGTATTTTCGTTTGTTTGAATGGGAAATCGATGACCCAGATATGGATTGCATCACCGAATTCCAAGGAATTAGGTAGTTGATCAACTAATTCTCGTTAATTATCTGGAAATTACGCAATAATTAAGGGTAAGTTACGTGCGTATGTAAGTAATTAAGTAAGAAGTCTTAATGATAAATAAATAGAATCAAAAGAATGTTTATACAAGACCAATTAAACTTTTATTGACATTTTGACACACATATATTTCTTTTACGTGTATTTCCGAAAATAATTCCTATTTGAAACTGGGTCACGACTATGAACGTTTCGGACTATACATTTCACCCGATTCGAAAATAGCGCTATTTATATGCGAGAGCCACGATGGCCCGCGTATTTTCACAGCTGTTAGAGCCGTTTCTGTTTTACGGGAGCCTTCCAACCGTTCCTTGCAGAAACTCGACTTTTGCATGCCAGGTGAAAGTGCTTAAGGCAATCATTTAATTCTAACGTTTTTCGTATTCTTTTTACTTCTACGCAAAAATTGGCTTTCTAAACGTGTCACGACTAACAAATACGCAATCATTTTACGTCGTTTTTCAAAACAGTTTTAAGTTCAAGGAGAAATTAACATGTTATAAAGTAAATAAATTTGTGTAGGATTTTAAAATTAACATAAATCATTATTATTATGAAATTTTAAATAAATAAATTAGTTTATTAAAGCACAGTAAAACCTCGCTATAACATATTAATTCGGAGAAGGGAGTATCCGTTATAAGAAAATTTTTTAATTTGCACTTTAACTCTTACTGGATTTTGCTCAACTCGAGCAAAGTTAAACTATTTTAAAAGGTCATATACAGGTGTCCCGCAACGATTGTACAATACTGCATCAGCGTATTCTCTGATCGAAAACAGACAAGAAAAGTCTAATAAACATAGGTCCGAAAATGGACCAATTTCGAGATATTCAAAGTTTTAGTTTCATAAGCTGACCTATTGTAAACATCATTAATTCTAACGATTTAGATGCAGTAATTATATGATTACCATGGTTACGATGGTTAAGATAAAGTTTAATAAATAATAAGATAATATTAAGTTAATTAATACAGTTCATTAATAATTTAACAAAACAAGTAACAAAGATTGTCGAAGAAAATCGTTCAACCAGCATAAAAACAACGAATATTTAACAAATTGGAAAAGATTCATGTCATAATAAATGTTCAATATGCGCACCATTTACTTCTAAACACAAACGGATACGTTTTCTAAATGAACTTCTAATGCGTTCAAAGATACCAGGAATTTGTTTTACTGTGTCAAATGCGTTACTAATTTTATTCTTCAAATCCTGCACATTTTGAACGTCTTCAGAATAAACAATTTGTTTTAAATGTCCCCAAAACCAAAAATCTAACGGATTTAAATCTGGTGAACGAGGTGGCCACGGGACAGGACCTCCTCGGCCAATCCACTTATTGCCAAATCTGTTATTTAAGTATGCTCGAGTAGCGCGTGCATAATGTGCTGGTGCTCCATCGTGCATAAAGTAGCAATCTTCTAGAATTTGTTGAGGTAATTCATCAAATGCCTCTGTAAGGTCATTTTGTAAAAAATGTATGTAGGCATCGGCTGTCAATCTCTTTGGAAGAAAAAATGGACCTAATAACTGATCACCTATAACTCCAGCCCATACATTAACACTGAATCGCCACTGATGATGAGTTTCTAGTATTGCATGGGGATTTTCATCGCTCCAAACGTGCGCATTATGAATATTAAAAATTCCGCTTTGAGTAAATGTTGCTTCATCCGTAAATACAATGTTTATGGGAAAGTCGACGTTTACTACCTCTTCCTGTATGGCCCACCTACAAAAAATCTCTCTTTTTTCGCCATCATTTTCTGTTAGAGCTTGAACGGTGTTGTAATGATAAGGATAAAGCAACTGCTCCCTTAAAATGCGGTGAACGGTTGTTTTGTTAATGTTTTCTTGTGCAGAAATTCTTCTAATGCTGGTTGAGGCATTTTCATCGACTCTTCTCAAAACTGCTTCTTCTAATTCCACCGGCCTTGTGTAATGTCTCTCCGTGGAATGGCTGTGGGTTACGCTTCCCGTTTCTTTTAATCTGAGAAATAGTCTGCTAAAGGTGTGACTATTAGGCAATCGTCTGTTCGGGAACCTTTGCGCGTAATGACGAGCTGCTAACGACGCATTTCCATCAGCTAGTCCGTAACAATACACCATATCCGCCATCTCTTCCTTGGAGTAATTAATAGGAGCCATACTTAATAGTTTTATTAAATTAAATAGTAAAATAATAATTTCGTGAAGTATTATTATTTTTTTTTGATTAGACAACTTATGGTAATCATAGTAACGACTTAATTACTATAAAAACAAATTTAAATTCATGATGTTAACAATATCAACTTATGAAACTAAATCTTTGAATATCTCGAAAATGGTCCATTTTCGGACCTATGTTTATTAGGCTTTTTTTGTTTATTTTTGATCATAGAATACGCTGATGCAGTTTTGTACAATCATTGCGGGACACCCTGTATAGGTTGAAATCATATGATATTGCATCAAAGCATATAGAGTTTTTTTAAAAAATTGGTGGTCCAGTTTTTGTACCACTGCTCCATTTGCATATAAACTAAATATCTTATACCTATTTTGATATTTTTTTTGGACATACTCGTATTCTGGAATTAGATATTAAAACTGGGCCTACAAGACCAGCTACAACAACCCTCCTGAAATCTTTTGCCGTTAATTTATCAGGCAGATTCATTGTTTTATATAGGCAATATGCATTTACCATAGAAGCATCTAGGAAGTAGATGCCACCATTTGTTGCTTTGACGATCTATTTTCTAGCTTCCTAAAAGTTGATCGAATTTATCGACACTGTTCATGTTGGCGTTATAATCAGTTAGCACTTTTGGGCACAATATTTCCAATATATTTCCATTTTTTTCTCTTCTATTAACTTTCGTGCAATCTTCAGGATTGTGATAATTTGATAAAAGGTGTACCTTTTATCTTTCCATTTTACTGCAAACAGTTTTGTATCACTTGTGTACCAGTCGAATTCACCTCTTTGGAGCTGCTTGTCCGTTTTGAAATTAGGTAAATATTTTAGAGATACATTCACTGTTCCAACTGCATATATCCCACGTTGCTTTAAATTTTGTAGTTCCACACTGTTAAAAAAATTATCAAAATTATTATTGTATGGTCTTTTTGTTCAAGACCCTCAACAAGTCCTAGAACCTATACTCTGTCCCATAAGTTGATCCTGGGATTTTCCAATATAAATGTCGAATCTCAAGCAGTATCCCGACTTGTCGCAGAGCATCCATACTTTGTAACCCCTTTTTATGGCATATATTGTTTTAGTGCACTTCTTAAATTTGACCTTAAATGTGACTTTTAAATTTGATCATCGACTCGTCCAAGGCTAATACTTCACTTGGTAAAAGACAATATTTAAAAGCTATTTCTAAATGATCTAATAACGGCCGGGCCGTATTTTATAAAGATGATCAAAATTGATATGCAAGTGTCCTAAAAGCCAACCAAATCTTTTTTGCGTCATAAGGGAGCTACTGTAAGAATCACGTAAATCTGGTGCACTGGATCAATAATCTTTATAACTTGGTAAATGCTTGATCCCCATAAGTAAATTTATTCCTAAATAAAAAGGCATTTATATCTTGTTCTCCTGTAATGTTTTCCAGTACGCATTTGTTCTTGCTCGGCATATAAGTTTGTTTGAAAAACTATATGATTTATAAAATTTTGTTCGAAAAATAGTTGAAACAGAGAATATGGTGTCGGATTTGAGTTTTTGGCTAAAAGGGGGTGAAGAAAGTCTTTCCGTTTTACCCCAAATTGGTGGCTGGATAACTGTAGTTAATTTTTTTTTAATTCTTGCTTGAAGTACAGATAAAGGTTTGTTGTCATCTGAATCACTGTCACTAGAATAAATATCAATATTTGTATTTATATCTTCACCAGAGAGGTGATACTGCCCGTTTGACAAAATTAGCAGTGGCGTTGAAAATATTTTTAAAAAAGGGCTTTTTATTGCAATAATGTTTAATTTTAAAGAAACTTTGACCCGCTATATCTCTTTAAGGAGGCATTTGCGACCCGATGTATAATAAGACTATTCATCTTAATGTTTCATGTATTATCTGCTCTACAAGTCTGTCAGCGGTTTTTTGAATCACCCTGTAGATATAAATGAAGAGCTGTGAGATCGAGTAGGGCTTCAAGAGCAGCCGTTGGACAAGACCTAATTCCACCCTAGTTCTACCATAGTTCCACCTTCTAGGTCTAGTGTTAGTTCTAGTTTTACACGAATCGTCATCATTTCCACTCTAGTATTTGTGATTAAAATTATGCCACGACTTACAGAAACATTCTGTATATTATAGGTTTTACTGTATTAATATAAAATGAGGTTTAACGACTGGAACCGATTAATTTATCTCGGTAAAAACTTTTTTGATTCATTTTTATGTCACTTTGTAGAGGTTGCAGTTCCAAATTAAACTTTTAGATTT